TTGCCGATTAACATCATCAATAACAACCTGTCTTTACATCGATCGACTGAAAACAAAATATTCAACCACTTGCATGTTGGAAAAGGAAGCTAGCACTACAGTGAAACGCGACCTATACGATTTTGTGACAGAAATAATAAGTGATGTCTGTTTCACATGAGGGTATCACAGCACATTAGTAGATAATGCATTGGAATTTGAAAAGAAAATGGGTTCTGAGTTCGAGTCTCAATAAGACAACCATCACTACTGAGTTCCAGGTATATACAAACAGTGATTCCCAAATAAGATGAAACGCGTACATTGGACTACATTGGTACCAGCCAACTATCAAATGACGGAGAACACAATGTTGATGAAATAGAGAGGAGCTATGTAGATAGGAAACAGATAGATTCAAGGAGATAATCAGGATTTTCTTAATTGTCTTGATCTGATATGGATAGCGTTTCCATCTTATCACATACATATGACCATCTGCTTAGGAGGTCACTGGTGGAGAGGAAATAAACAATGATCCTCCCTCACTTGATGCCACTACACTTAATAAGCCCTTCATATGTCGTCAAGTAGACTGGATTATGCGTCAGACATTGGGAAAAGAGAAGATAGGGATATCCTGGACCTACGTGAAGAACCTAGAAGACCTGGATTTCGTGGATGATCAATGTTTGATGTCACACAAAATCGAAGACTTACAAGCGAAAACCGACAAACTGGTCGAAGAAGCAGCAAAGACAGGACTCCAGGTGAATATAGACAAGACGGAGGTTATGAAAATAACCAACCAACCAACAACAAAACAACAACAGCAGCAACATCCAGCACCAATCACCATCAACGGGAGAGATTTGAAAGAGGCTACTCCATTCACTTATCTAGGCAGCATTGTCTCAACTACACGAGGAACGGACGAGGATGTCAAAGGGAGAATCGGGAAGGCGAGAAACACATTCATCAACCTGAAACCAATCTGGAAATCTTCGTCACTCAGCCTGCATCAACAACAAAATTCGGATTTCCAATACAAACGTCAAGTCAGTCAGTTCTTCTATACGCATCAGAAACTTGACGGCGGGTCACAAAGAATATTTCCAACAGCCTGTTGCAGACCTTTATCAACAACAGCTGTCTTCGTTCTATACTCAACATCAGATGGCCACCGGAAAGAATCACCAACAAGAAACTATGGGAACAAACAAAACAAGAACCAATCGCTCAACAAATGTGGAGGAGAAAGTGGAGATGGATTGGACAGTCGCTGAGGAGGCCGTTGGGTGACATCGCGCGTCAGGCCAACGCTCGAGTGGAACCCGAAAGGGAAGCGATGAGTGGGACGTCAGTGCAAGGGTGACATGGAGGAGATCGTGTGAAGAAGAGTTGAAATAGCATGGACTAACATGGATGCAGGTGAAAAGTACAGCAGAAGACAGAAGCAAGTGGAGACGTGCAGTTGAAGCCCTATGTCCCACTAGGAACCCAAGGGAACAATAATAATAATAAGATCTCAGGATATCTAATGCTACAAGTGTGCGTAATGACCGACTCTCTGGTTTTAACACAAATGATTTCCTCAAATGTCTTCGATCCTTGAAATCTACTCAATCCCTTGTCCAGATGGTGTGGCCGCTATTATCCTCCAAAATGGTCGAGACATTTTCCGCCAACTGTGCGCCTTCTTTTCAAAGGATACTGAAAGTGTTCCAATTCCAAAATCAACAATTAGACCGAGTGTTATATTTAGACCTACTACTATTACTTCAGCATTTGAAAAATTGTGATGGAGGAAACGCTTTCACTTAACCTTGAACCTCCTTCGAATGATGTTAGTGACCCTAAACAATTTGCTTACAAACATAGTAGGTGCATTTATACGCCTTTGCTGTCTTCCATTATATTATTTTCTCCAGTTTACAGCGTTTCCTATCTGCCTTGCTGGATAACTCATCTCCCTTCGACTTTGTACCTACACCTCTTCTCCTAAACAAGCCTGCTGCGACATATGCAGCATAGTGGATTCATAAGTGGTTGTATTCTTACTTTTCTGATAGGAAGCAGTACACTGTTCACAATGGGAAGTCATCCGATGCTTTAATTGCTCTAACTGGAGTTCCTCAAGCAGCTGTTCTCTCTCCTTTTCTGTTTGCCTTCTTCTAACATGACTCGCTTCATCATTCTGACGAAGCTAGTTTTGCTGGGTATGCCGATGATTTGACTCTGTCCATACCTGTTCCAAAATGAATAACCTTTCATCAGAAATTGGTCAGTGGTCCTTTCCAAACTGTCCTAAACCAAATCCCGCAAAATGTGAGCTTGTTAATTTCACTTTCAGACATAAGCGCCACGTACATCAACCGGCTCATTTCCATGATTCTTATAGTATAGATGGCACAGAAGTTGATACTAAGTCGGATGTTAAGTGCCTTGTATGGTAATTTTTCTCTGATCTTCCCTGGTCTTCCCCCATCACGTTCATTTCCTGAAAGATAATTCACCTTAGCCTCTACATAAGACTGTAAGGGAGACAATCTGGTATCACTCAGTCTGAACTTCAGTTAATATTACTGTACAACACTGTGTGATTTATCAAAATAAGATCCTATCCATAATGGAGTTCTGAACTTCTGCAGTTTGTTAATTCTTGTACCCCACCTGCTCTTCCTTATGGCTCCCTTGCCTCAATATTTCCTAGGCTACCTAGGAAACACTCTGTTACACTGCGAAGGATACTAAAAAGCTGCCAGTAGAGAGAGAAGGTTTTCGTGAAACCAAGTCGTCAACACTGTTTGGGATAGACACTTCAGCTGACGCAAGAAATTAGAGAATATCATCTTTTCTGACTCTGAGCACCTTCTATATACACAACTCTCTCCTTGCATTTCATCAAGTACTACAAGAAACAGCCTTGAGAGACTTTATGCTCGGACGAGTAATTAGAACAATTCTGCTATACCCTATTTGGTACATATTTCATGTGGTGAGGAAAGTGCAAGGCATGACAATACTAACTTCCCGTGAAATGCTGAGTGAATGAAACTTGTAATTTCCTTGTTCCATTGATATAATGTTGTTAATGATTCCACTTATACTTTACTTTCATATTCTTACTCAACAATATTATCAATATATGTGTAAAACTTGGGCACTGTGGTAGTGAGTAATTCCATATTAGTTTGTTTATTAGATGTATCATACAGTCAGTGAGACAGTATTATTTACTGGATGACAAGGTTTCGAACAAAATTTATTGTTCATAATCATTTCATCAATTATAATCACACGACTTCGATACTTGAGTTTTATAGTTTTCTTTGTTCTCTCCTATTTGTCGTTTGGGTAGTAGAATTTTACAGATATCTGGGACAGGTGATGTATCATTCCTATAACATGTATTTGCAGTTGATTCGATAAACAAAGCTTCTGTTATCAATCTCTCCCTATACCCTGTGACATTAGATTTTAAAACTGTCATCATATCCCATCCTATTGTATGGTTGTGTGTAATTGCATGTAGTGCTATAGCTGAACTATTCTCTAGATTTCTTATCTTATTCGGGTCAACCAATCTAGATTTTGCTAGGTTTTTATGTTCAGCTAGTCTGACTGCCCCTGTTCTACTAGTTTGACCTATGTATTTGACCTGACAATCATTGCAGGCAGGGAATTAGATAAACTAAATTGTTTTGTTTTAAGGGCTCTACAGGATCCTTTAGCCGACAAAGCTTGTTTCTAATTGAGTTTATGGGTTTGGATGCCGTTTTTATGCCTGCCTTGTTAAGAAATCTGCGTAAGGCTTCCGAGGTTCCTTCCTTGTATGGAATTACTACTGATGATTTAAATTCTTTATTGTTGGTGTCGTCATTAATATTATTATTATCACTATTACCATTATCATTATTATTGTTATTATCACTATCGCTACTATCATTATTTATTTTATTTTTACATTTCCTTACATGTTTCTTGATTAATTTATCCGGGTAATTATTAAGTTTCAAGGCTTCTTTTATGTGTATCAGTTCCTGTTTTAGATTTTCTTTGGTACTACTTAATTTTTGTGCTCTATCATTTAAACATTTCACCAGTTCTCTTTTTACTGACATAGGATGGGATGATCGGAAGTCCAAATATCTGTTTGAGTGTGTGGGTTTCCTGTAAACACTAGTGTTTAACTTCCCATCTTCTTTCCTTTTTACTTTGCAATCTAACATTGGGAGCTCCCCTTCCTGATTTTCCAATTCATAAGTGAATTGAATTGCTTCAACCTTCGAGTTGATGTGTTCGAAACGTCATCCAGTAAATAATACTGTTTCACTGTGTGATATACCTAATAAACAAACTAATATGGAATATTATCAATATTCGTGTCCTGTCCAATATTCCCCCACCCCATCCGGTCCATATATGTAATGTGAAGAGAAAATTCGATGTAATATTCTATTACACGCTGACAATTCCACATTATATTGAAGGTACTGCTTGGAGTAAAGCCGGTATTCTTCCTACTATTATTATTATCATTATTACTATTATTATTACTACAATTGTTATAAGTAACACCTTTCAAATAGACTCACTTCCTCAAAAGTGTCAATTTCTAAGCAACTTCAGTAAACAATCAATTTCAAAGTCGGAACTGGAGTAGCTGAATCATCTCTCATTACTTTCTCATATGACACCATATCATAATGTCAGATTTCTCATAAAAAAAAGTATCACATCACAAACCTGCATGACATTACCGATGAACAGGATGCTTCATCACATGAAAAATGAAGAAAACTTATGAAAAGTAAGAGACGGGAATATCTAATATTTTGTCACCTGATGAACACCACTTCAATGGAAAGACAGACGTCTACAAGTTACTCTGATACTTCGGTGGAACCAAATTGGAATTCACTTACACAACATACAAACATTTGTGTTCGAGAAGTATATGACAATATAATTTCCTGATAATAAGTGATAAAAGTTTGACAAAATCAAAGGGAAATTCACTACTCCAACAAGGAATGTTCTGGTGACAATTCTGTATCCTGTCGTTTCTCGCGTTCATGACACTCAATTGGTTGTTCATTTCCAGAAAGTGCCCGAGGTGATGGCTGATCGAAATTTACAATCTGACTGCACACTGCTAATAAGCATGTGAGCATTGTAGTCCAATATGGAAATACTGCGTAAACCGCACGATGTCTCGGAAGTATGTCTTTTTCCTTTTTACCTTTTGGACCAAGTTGAGTAACACCATTGGAAGTTAGATATCGGTCATATGGTAGACCTCCAATGTTCTCCTTTAAATAAAACCAAAGAACAGTCTGTACAGCCAATTTCCACACGATAATGCTAAATGTTACTGTCTGACTAAATCTTCTTCCTACATCCTGATGACCGAGTATTTGAGTATGTCTAAAAAATGTACAAATACGAAATGATGACATGGGCCGACGTGAGACGAAAACAAAATCTCATATTTACTCACTCACCACTGATTGACAAACTGATGATAACATACCTTCCAGTCACCTTCAGTATAATTCTGATTAGTAGAACGATATCCAGAAACCACATCAGTGCAATTGTTATGCGCCAATTCCAGTAAATAGTTTCACTGAAATTCGAAATTTGTGCAAATGAAACTACACAGCACACTGACCACAGAATAATGGCCGCCTGGAAAAACTAAGAGAATATCAACACTGAATAATAGAAGTGGAGGAATAGGTTACGCGACACAAAGAAAACGTGACAATGGGATACTAGATAGTGTTACTAGTGTAATGTGTCCACTCTTTTGTTTGCTGAACACTGAATTCTATCACAGTTCAGTTTGCAATGTCGCCACCAACACAGGACTAGACAGATTACACTAGTAACTATCTGGTGTCTAATCAAAAGTATCCAATGCAGTCCCACATGAGGTCAATCGCGAGTCGGATACCTCAGTGGTACCGTCTCTGAGTGCAGCACTGAGTGACACAAGTATGAATGTCAGAAGAAGAATCAGTTCCTTGAAGATTTCAGAAATACCTTGGTGACTGTTGAGTGAAAACTAGCACGAAATGTTGGTCTAAGGCTTCCTGCTGATTACCTCCAATTATCTGATAGACTGCAGATATACTCGAAACTACTATTCTGAACGAAAATGTGTATGTGTTATACAACGTAGAGTTCTACATCATCTCTTATTCTTCATGTGGTTAGGACCCTCGCCGACCATTCACATGGTCCGGGGTTCGATACCCTGCCGACGCACACCTGATATCTATGGTCGGCCTGTAAAATTTGGGCTACCGATATCACATGCTGAAAATTCCATACCTGTACCAAAAATTACTGTGTCGAATCAAGCTGTAATCAAAAATAAAGAAATTTGTATCACGTGAATACCTCCATCGCCATAAGCGTCAAATTCTCAACACACAATGAACATATCAAAGTAATCAACGAATGCAGATGACACAGAAATTTATGATTTATGATCCTGATATACCTCATGGTGAGTCACCACGTACTTCATATCTGTGAAATATATCATGTTAAGATATATGCCAACACCTCCACACAGACCCATCGCCACTCGCTTCACATTCTCAACACACAGTGAACCAAAATCTTCAGCCTAGACAACACTCTCATAAACACAGACTCCAGTTAAACAGGAAATCACCGCCAAGTTCACCAACTTGAATCAGTCAGTCGTCATTGGCATTCATACACAGCGATAGGGTCATCCATGAACCCATGTGCCTCACGCCGTGATTGTGCCAGTATCGGTCCGTTCGAAGGAACGGAAGTCAATGGTGAGTTTAGTGGTGATTAGCCAACTGTCTGCGAGAGGATGATTGTTAAACTGACTTACGGGAGTAAAAGGCTTTCAGGTATCGACCTACTATTTGAAAGTTATTATCCTTGTTGTAAATTGCTTTGTGTCTTCACTTGGTTGGTCAGATATGTCATATGTTTGTTAGTAATCTACATTGCATGATACGATGTCATGGGCGTGGCATGGTTGAGAGTACAGGTCATCAAATGGACTCTACGATGATTTTCCAACCTAGGTCATCAATCTGAGAATGGTTTTAGGCGTAGTGCGATTCTTTGAAGATAGTACGTCGAGGCGTGGTCCACAGCACTCTGTGTATTATCTGTATATACGTATATGTTGTATAAATTGAGTTGTTATCTGTTACACCCTATCCACTTTCTATTTTTGTATTTTGTCGTATCTTATAAATCCTGTTATGTCATCGTGATTACTTCCGAAATGGTTTCGAGTCTTACTCTCCTCAATTTGTTATCATTGCTGTTATTATTTTTATTATTAATATTAACATGAATAATATATGAAATACATTCTCTCACATAGTATACATTGAATATAACTCACAATCATTATTCAATCGTATAGTTGGCGTAGTTCTGTAGTCAGAATTCTCGACAGTTTATCTGAATTTATCGATAATTGAATCGACTTTGCTCAAGTGTTGAATGCTGTTTATTGTGTGAACTGATCGACTCACTGGATATTGTTTTATATATACACATATTCATATCAACCCACTCAAGGATGAAGCAAACTTTGGACTGTACACATTTCGAATGAGCCTTTAAACAGCTTTGAAATTAAAGCATCCAGTTGTGAGGATGCAACTTCACAGAAGTAGTGTCGGTGAACTCAGGTTATTCTTGATTTTTTTCGTGATGGAATACTTAGATTACAACAGATTCAAAGTCAGTTTTAAATCAAGTGTTCGTTTCATACAGAGTAAAGACGCTATTGGTGTTATTTCACACCACCGCCACCACCCTTCAGCCAATTCCTTTGAATATATATACTAAACACTGTTGTGAACTGCCTGACTTTATTCTTTGAGTCTACTTCCTTTGGAAGTCAAATGTATGCTAAGAGAAATTTCTCATGAAAAGTTATGCAGTTCTCTCCGTCCCAGTCAACACCGCGTTGCACAAAACCACAGGAAATATTGAGGCTCGAGAGAAACATTGCTCATATCGCGCTTCAAGTGGGTTTAAATCTGAAGTATTTTCACAGTTTCTTCTAACATTTCAAGCCTGTGCATATTTTGTTGCTCCTTGATCGATCGCTGTAAATGTATTTGTCAGATCGTCTGCTTTTCACTTCATCCTGGTATTCGCATATATCTGTCTTTTCGACGTTTCTGAAGAGAAATCGCACAATAGTGTACCGTATCTATTCCACGAAAGCTTGTAATATGGCATTTTGACGATCCACCCCATTCTCAGTAATCATGTCTTACTGTTGACGTTTTGATCCCGCTTGACTCCCCGCAGTCGTGACCTATAGAATACACTTGCCTGCGAGATCAGCTATTTAGGTAGGTCAATCCAGCAGGTCAACGCCAGTGAGAATATAGGATAATTTGGATGTAGCTAGCTGAAGTATGACTGACCCTAAAACAAGAGCAGATATTGCAATACACCTACTAACATAAAATATGATGGTAGCGTTGCAGATGTTATAGGAAATATGGTCATATTCAGGGGACAGTGGATTACTCAGTCCTTCTGAATTGAACCAACAACAACAGCAGCAACATCCAGCGCCAATCACCATCAACGGGAGGGATTTGAAAGAGGTTACTTCATTCACTTATCTAGGGAGCACTGTCTCAACTACAGGAAGAACGGACGAGCATGTCAAATCGAGAATTGGGAAGGCGAGAAACACATTCATCAACCTGAAACCAATCTGCAAATCTTCGTCACTCAGCCTGCATCAACAACAAAATTCGGATTTTCAATACAAACGTCAAGTCAGTCACTTCTTCTATACGGATCAGAAACTTGGCGAGTCACCAAGAATATTTCCAAGAGGTTGCAAACCTTTATTAACAACTGTCTTCGTTCTATACTGGAGATTAGATGGCCAGAAAGAATCACCAACAAGGGACTATGGGAACAAACAAACAAAACAAGAACCAATCGCCCAACAAATATGCAGGAGAAAGTGGAGATAGATTGAACACTCGCTGAGGAGGCCGTTGAGTGACATCGCGCGTCAAGCCCTTGAGTGGAACCCGAAAGGGAAGCGGCGAGTGGGACGTCCAAGGTTGACATGAAGGAGATCGTGTGAAGAGGATCTGAAACAGTATGGACTAACATGGATGCAGGTGAAAAGTACAGCAGAAGACAGAAGCAAGTGGAGACGTGCAGTTGAAGCCCTATGTTCCACTAGGAACCCAAGGGAACAATACTAATAATAATCTGAATTGAATCTGCACCAAACATTTCCGATGTAAAGATACAGAAAACACCATCACCAGTAAGATCAAAGGAGAAAAATAATGGGATTATATTGAGACGAACTGAAATTCATACGAATAGCGTGATGTGATTATGATCGAGAGTTTTTCATTATCACAATATCGCCAAATAAATAACACTCTATCACTGGTTGTTACATCAGATAAAGTTATCCTGTCATGTCTGTCTAATTGCACATGACCTGGAAAAACATTCGCACCTGTCTTTCTGCATGACTAATTCAATGTAGTTTATTTACTTATCAGTCCTATATCTCCCAATGTAATTTCAAAACTATATATATCCGTGTGTGTAAAGTATTCAGTCCTATATCTCCAAGTGTAACTTCAAAAGTATATATCCGTGTATGTAGAGTATTCAGCTGACGAGTTCTACCGAAATTTGATGAATTCATTAAATCTTGCTTTATTAACCTTTATTGCTTGTTTTAAATTCGTATCGGGAAATAAATGTTTCCATTTATCCTGTCATGGTGTGTTATGCTATACAGCAGTCTCCACTTTATACTCTTTTATCAACACAGGAATCAAATTCACTAACACAAAACTCAGTGATTTGTTTACGTGTGATTCTAATTTAGACTCTGTGTCTTTATTTTACCGAGACTCCTAACAGCTCACACTATTTTCTGACTATACCTCTCCAAACGGTCAGCTGTGTCAATCACTTAACTTGCCAGGATAGTCGAATCAAGATTAGTGTATTGGTCAACTAAATCCGGTCACACAGCGTCTTTGGAAAATCTGAATGAGTAGCAGTAGGTTTCTGCATTGTATGCTGTCTAGTAATCCATACGAACAGCTTTCGTGGTGTATCCCCATCAGATAGGCTACAAATTGCCTGACAAAAGCGGTTGAGTTTTATCTGTTTGAAAGAAGAGCATACAAAAGCAAACTGTAAAGCAGTGAGCAAGGTTAGTGATAAGCTGAATGTGAGACCAGCGTCATCAAGTTTCGACTCCGATTCTTGTGATGATTATGGTGGAGTAGTGAAGAAGCCTATAGTTGCAACTGGTAAGCCATTGTTGTGTAGCGTGTTAGAGACGACACCTCAGTCTGTATGGAAGAAGAGGGTTAATCCAGTCAAACGCTAAGGACAAGATACCGCTTTTGGCCACTTCAATATGTATTTATCA